AAGGTGGTGCGTACGATCTACGGTGGCGTGTAGATGGAAGACTACTCATGGAAGGCGAATCAACCGTAAATTGCACAAGTTGCTGGAATAAGAACTCCTCATCAACACTACAAAGATTAGGAAACTATGGTGAACTGAGCACATGGCACTGTAATCCATATTTGAAAAAAAAAATAAGTGGCAGAAAGACAATTTTCATTCGGATCATCGTAGAACGTATCATACATGTTTCTTAGACAATTGACTGAAAAAAATCACGTCTTATTTTCAATAAAACATCAAATTATGCTTATAAGCTATGAATAAATTAAAACTACTAATAAGCTCGCTAAGATCTTCATATTCTTATGGAATAATCTGGTTAGAAGATTAATATTCAAATATCCTGATTATGATACTGATGCCAAACATGAAGCATTCTTTTGATAATTTCTAGATCGATAATTCCCATTGATTTATTGAAAAAAAAATGGAAGAAGAACATGCCTGGATTGATGAAAAAGTAACAATTTTTACCTTAATTTTTGTTTGTAAATCTCTAAATAAACCATCAGCTATGATTTTAATTGCTTAAACTTGATAATAAGCTGATTATGTGCAACTGAAGATACTCCTCCGAAGACACTAACTTAATTAAACATAAATTAAAGTGCCCAAAAATTATGTTTTACCGGATATTGCTCTTTTTGACCAATGTGCGTCGTAATAATATTGTACAATAATCCAGTGATTTTTTTATAGAATTAGACAAAAATCGTGGATCGGCTAGGTGATAGGCAACCTATCGATTCTCCACTAGCAACATGTAGCCAAGGACCGAGTGCAATGGAGACGACTTTAAAGTAACGGACAATCACTCACAACTCACTCAAATAACTGTTTCAGCACATGTTTTACGTCATTACAAAAAAATGAACATTGAAAAATTGCATCCGTCGAATGATATTCAATCTTAAATAGATTTAAAGTCCATAATTATGCCTTGAGAAACAACAGAGATGCATCGATTTTAAAGACAGTGAGATTTAAGCTGGTTCCATTTTCTAAGACACGCACTGTATATACAATATGGACGATAAAGCAACAAGATTTTGAGATCAAACACAATAAATTTGGTTGGATTAAACGATAAATATGTCTCTTCATGTTTTTAGATGGTAGATGTACACGTTCCTATCAGTGTTGGAAAAATCACCAATCAAACGATATTTTTCCGCTCTCATACGCTCTCAATATCACGCGTGATATTGGAACAAAATATCATGCTTGAGGCCGTTCGCAATACTGTTGTATCTTATGTGGACTGTTGCAGTTTGAAACTAGAACAGAAACGCACCCCTCGCAATTCTGAGTTACAGTTTCATTATTCGAGCACTATTTTGCACCAAATTTGCAATTCATCGACTATTCGGTTTTATTTCTTAGCGGGTTTGATACACGAAGCTCTGTTTCAAATTTCTTTGGATGTATTTATTAATGTTTCTCGTAAATGTTCAGAGAACTTCATAGAAGTTGAGAACATTCAATAGAAATCTGGGAATTTTTCAGAAATTTTGAGAATTTTTGAGATGTTTGAAGATATTTTATTGAAGTTTGGAGAACTTCATTTAAATAACGGAGAGTTTCTAAAAAAAATCGGAGATCTTCATAGAAAGCAGTAAACTGTATAGAAATTGTATTTAAAAAAAAGTTTCAGCAGGTATCATTGAAATTTAAGTAATATCAAAGAAGTGAGGGTATTTCATAAAAGATTTTTGAACATTTTAGTGGAAAAAAATCAACTTCGGATAATCGAGTAGTGCTGGAATTATCTGGGGATATCCGGGTACAAAATATTCAGATATCCGTATATCTATATCAGGTTTTACGGTTTTCGTAACGTAGCAACGAACCGTTATAATAGTAACTTTACTAGCTTGATTAAATCATTAATAAATATGTCTTGCGAAGAATTACTATTAGGTTTTGATTTTGTTTGCGAAACGATTCTCATAAATTAACAATAACAAAACAGAAATTATTGGTTTAAAGTGGGGCAATCCCACGGATGTGTTTGATATCAAAAAATAAATGCAAACGTAGTGCCCAAATCTCAACGTTCCCTAGGCTTATAGATCTATATATTTATGGCATTGCATGCTTCCCAACAACAATGTTAGTTTCAGCTATGAAAATGCATAAAAAGGAACTCCAACCAAGAATGTCCTCGGTCTTCAGTACGCTAAACGTTCGCTAGGTGAAATATGTTTATCCCAAATGCTATCAAAAACAAGCTTTTAACATTCAATCTATTAATGGCTGACTTTTCATTTTGAACAAAACCAAAAAAAAACCTTAAGTGTGCATTATTTCTGGAAGAATTGGACCTTGGTTCGGGAGTTATTGCAGATTCAAATGGATGGATCACAATGATTTCACATAAAAGCGTACATATGAATCAACGGGTTCAAATTATAGGAAACTCTGACCTCTGCCTTTGTTGGATTGTAGAGGCGATCTTTGGTTGGCGAGAAAACGTCAATACAAGTTTTGTTTACAATATCTGATAGGTCCCTTTCAATTTTAGGTCAAGAAATACCCCATCCAAAAAGCACTGGGACATTCAACCGCCTCTTAGATACCGGAAGTTCCAAAATTCGGATCCGAGGACCATCTCTCCAAGTCTTCAAGTATGATGTAGTACTTGCGATAACTCTTGAACGTGATCTGGCCACAATGTCCAGTATCCTGAAGTTCCGGTTCCGTTCCTATAGAGGATAGATAGGTGCAAATTAAAAATTCCGAGTTTGTGTACTGCAGAAAGCATAGTTGTCAAAATCTTTGTAGCTTAATTAATAGAATATTTTCTTCATTACAATATACATAAAGTTCTGCTCATTTATTCGTAAATCCAAACCTGAAATATACTAGATTGTCGTTGATTCATCAATGAATGAATCATGCTTTATACCCTTTTCCCTATGTAATGTAAACGCACTACACACTTAGAAATACCTAATTTTACATGTGACGGAATTCATCTTTGACATAAAGGGTGAGACGTAAACACACATTTCATGTAAAATTAAGTGCTCCGAGACTGAAAAGTTCGGTACTCGACGAAAAGTACGTTTGATTGAGCTGAGTTTTGCGTCTATTACGACATAATTTTATGTCAAAAATGACGCTCGTATATGTCAGTCTCAGAGCACCTAAATTTACATGATTTTTTTTTAAGTGTGTAGATTTAGGACTAAAGTGATGACATAAGTTTGATCCTTGAAATAAACGTTGTTCGGATAAGAAACTATGCACGTGTGCGGATTTGCGAAATATCTTATGACAATTGAAATCTAATTCTTGCTTATTAACGTTTAATAGTATGAAGCACTCCGTATATCCAAGCAGATAGTAACCATATATGTTTTATCGGCCGAATATCCGCTTATCCTACAATCCGTTTTTCATATATCCAGTTTACGCTCCTGGATATCTGGATTACGGATATATCCGAGTCTAATTCCCAGCACTATAATCGAGTCCAATTTATACATCCGTTATGACATCTTCAGACTAGGCTGAAGATGTCATAACGGATCGGTCTCTGCTCCGCAATCTAGTGCCAATCACCGACGGACATCGATTGCCATCCATTGACGGCAATTGAATGTTCAGGAAGGCGGCTTCTACACCTGCGTAGCATATCACACCCATTCACAGCACACATGGGCCGGGACCAACGGCTATACTTCCCTTCCGAAGGAAGACGTGACCAGAGATTTTTATGCCTCAGAAAAATCCCACCGACCTCGGCTGGAATTGAACCCAGACCCATTGGGGTGAGAAAACAGTCACGCTTACCACTACACCACCGGCGCCGGCTGATTTATCAGTTATAACTTATAATGCTACAAGGCTATCTTGATACCATTTTATTGGTAATAGCTATAAGAGCTATAGGAAAACAGGGTGTTAAGCAATATAAAACAAATCATGAGAATGCCAAGTCATATAATATAATGTATTATTTACAAAAAAAAAACTTTCATCAACTTTGTTGTTAGTTTGTAGCAATTGTCAAAGTAATGACATACATTATTAACATTCCAACTATGGAGCAATTTAACCCATATTACATCTAAGTTCAAGCAATCGTTTAGTTGTCAGCTTCCTGAGATAAGATTGCCTAAATATGTATGACATTAATTTTCTGAAGCTAAATGGCACATGTTTCAAATTCAAGTGTAAGGTTCATTTTGTACTATTTTTTGAGCATACTTCTTTAACAACCAGCTTTGCAAATTGATACATAATGATTGTAAAGTGCAAAAATTGCAGTGATAGTATCTTTCATGTATTTCAATAGTTCAATAAGCATAGTAATAAACAGCTTCGGTAAAAATTACCAATTTTCATTTCCATATGTAAAATTTGATACTTCACATAGACTTTAGAACCCCACTGAGCTGTAATGATTTCAGCGGTATCAAATACATAACATTATCTTAAAAGGTTTTGATTTCTACACAAACATAAACTTTTTTTTATAAACTTTGCTTTTGTGTGATTTTAAGCCCAGTTAGATTTCTTGATGTATTATTCACAACAACTTGTATTTCAATGTATTGTGCAGTCTTCTGGATGTTTCTAACTTTGCATATCGATACTGTTACAGTTCTTCAAAATACACGTTGCAATGAACTTTCACAATTATGGAGATACTGATTGGACTCAATATTCCTGAATTCTAACGCTCAAATCAATCAATTCCACATTGTGTTATATTCCACTATTCTGGACTCAGTTATGGTGATTAGTTCTGCCAATAGAAGTTTCCTTTTAACACCACACTGCTGTTTTGTTATAGCCCAGTTAAACTGCCACTAAGTTCACTTTTTTAATTCATGTAGAATCACTAGGTTACTAAGAGTCCAAAAATCCATTATTGTGAGGCCTCCCCCAAGTATCCATTTTATCGTCCGTTAGAATCTGACTGCCTAACCACTAATTCGTTGACATACCCAACGTAGCATTTCAGGAACGTTCAGCAATCTAATTTTCCTCGTTTAATTCACGTTTGATAAATTTCCAACCAGATTTTTCACCACCAACCACTTAAAGCTGTGTTTCAACCAACTTTGCTGCTCTTTTTTTCCAGCGCTACCGAACCGCACAATAACATCACCGTAACTAAACATTTCCTGGTGGTTACGATCAGTTTTATAGCTTTCCACCTTTCTTGCTGCATCTTCGACGAGATGGGAGCATTGCAGACCATCGGTCTTGCACGAAAAAAAAACTGTAACATCCAACGAGAGTGAGAGTATCCACGCGATCACTCTCACCGCACGTCAAATGCTTATGCTCATTTTTTTTCGCATGATCCATGAACTTGCAACCGAAGCGGGTCCTTCAAACGATGTGAAAATAAGTTTTTGCTCAATCGCTTGCAGCCCATGCTTGAGTCTAATTGTTGAGATCATGTGGTCTATGGCGTTGTTTAGACTTTCGGTTCCTGTATGTTCCTGTGCTGTAAATACGATCCAATCGAATAGCAATCAGTCGTAGAAAGATATTGCAAACAAATGTTTTCCAAACAATCTCATATTTGAATCCTTCAGTTAACTTAATAGTTTGCCCAGTACATAGTTACGTGGGTGAACCATAGGCAAACATGGCGAGTTATTACCATTAGAGGTAGAAAAGGAAGCAACGTAAATATAGTGCGAACTGCATTACGTTGAACTCGAATCGAATTTAATAAACTATTAAAGGTGCACTAACGTGTGGTTAAGGTGCAATCGATGGTCACGTTTGGATGTGGCTGGACTCCATCCAACGATCCAACTCCTGTTTAGAAAGCTATGCGCTTGGTATTGGTAGATTGATTTTATCTTTTCTGATTTTTCATGCGTTTCGGTCGATATATTTCCACCGATTATATCATTCGAATGGCAGTCAGATGTTGCCTGCGCTTCCAGTTTCCTGTAGTGTATTTTGTTGTCAATCAGTAACAGCATTCATTAAAATGCAATGATACAGTGAGAGCTAATTCAATCCTCAGTGGATAACATTGAAGACAGTGACATCACGTGATTTATTAACCAACTATAATGTTTGTAGCTATGAAGCTAATCACAGTCAGTGGAATTATAAATATATTAAGGATTTTATATAACAATTATCACTTATGGTTATCTTGGCATCTCTGTATGTAGCGGATGATTTAGGCATAACAAAATTTCAAAATCTTAATAATATATAATTAACACACTTGAATTGACTTTGCAAAATCAGAACACTGGTGTAGTTTTTGAATCGGCATTTCTATAACTGGATTGTCTATACATACAATCAGTGTTCGGAAAATCATTCTCAAATCTCATTCATTGAGCCTCCCTGCGAGAATAAACTCGTGTGCAAATGCGGTAAACAAAATTCACGCTTAAGAATATCATGGATATTCACGCACTCACACAATCATTCCAACTCATAAATACTCAAACGCCAATTGATATCATGTCTATGCATTTTGTGTTAGTTTTCCAACCCCTGATGCACAAACAATAGTAATAACAATGAATAACGCCAAAATATAAAGCAATGAATTTTTGAACCTGGAAACTCATCGGTGATTTTTGCGACGTTGAATTTTACAAGGCAAAACTCAAAGGCGCATAAACTCATGCATGAGAGAGATAGAGAGAGCTTCTGGTGTCCTGACGCACAGTCCTGCCCTTTGGTTCAGTGAGGGTTAGGGCGCGTTCTGTTAGGTTGGTCGAGGTAGATTCCATGTCTGAGTAGCCAAGCAACACAAATTCATAGTATTATGTTGAGTAATCTGCTTTACAATCAAACCAGTTATACAAAGGATATATAAACTGTTATAGAACAATTCACTTTAAAAGGTGTGTTTCGTATTTTTACACATATAGTTCCAAAGAGTCTGATTGAAATGTGGCGCATGCGAAGATCATTTGAAGATACGATATGACGGAGCATTAATACTAATTCTGTTTTATACAATTTACACAAATTATATAGTTAAAGATGCTAATTTCAAATAACAGACTGAAGTGGAATTTTTTATACGATAGATGAGGAGATGAAAGTATAGAATTGATAGTTCCGTTTAGACTACAGCAGTGTTAAAATTGCATATAGAGAATAAAAAGCGAGCTAGACAACTTTTTTAGGAAAGTACAACTCAGGTTTATTATCTCTCTTTACCAAACTCCCCATTCGTGGATAAAGGACGGGCTCTTCTCCCCGCTCATTGGGGCATCTTCCTGTCTGGGGGCTCATCTTTTTGACCAATTGTGTGATCATGCAGCAACTGAGTGCCAAAAACCTATTGTTGGACGAAATGTCGAGAAAAGTGTAAGAAACATTATGCCGTAAAGTGCTTTTTTTATTATATGAGAGAAAAGTTCGTACAACAAGTATAAATAATATAAAATTGTTCAGTTTTTAAGATATCTCTTATTATAAAGCTAAGTTAAATTTAATTAAAAGCTTATTAAGTAGTAAGGCTCTTGTAACAAAGCTGGTAGATAGTATATTGAGATTTGATATGCAAGCTGTTACAGCAGTTTTCGTGGTTCCAGTCTCGTCTCGAGATACAAATATTATAAGCCAGAAATTACCTTAAAATCATCAAATGAACTTGAAGCACCTCTAAACCAACACCGAATTTGCGTTCTATCAATCCCAATTCACATCTGCATAGGAACGTTAACGTCTGGTCCACTTTTAATCCGGACGGAACAAATGTGAAGAGCATTTAGTTCTTTTAATTGATCGATCATCTATTATCTTAACTCTTTCCGTTTTTGAATTGTAGGCGACCAAATTTGTAGTAATTTTTTAGAAGAGAAAGTTGGTGAAGAGAATCGATCAAAATCACTTGCTCCCCTGCATCCAAGTTTGGTTACAAGATTACAACTCTGGAGAGCATTGTGTGGTCGTTGGGGGCGTGTGGTTCTGAATATGGACAAACAGGCCCCTGGGCCGTGTTGTTGCCAAAGTTGGTGATTATTTAAAATCCGAAACCGTACAGAGTGCGTCTCTGTCGCTTCAAAGCGTAGATGACATACATGGCTGCTAACACTTGGCGTGTTCAGTGTGGGTGACAGCATCACGGATCTCATTTTTCAGGAACACCTTCAGCACTCCTCGTAGATCAGACCGGAGATACGTTTGACACCACCGCGGCGAACCAGACGACGGATGGCGGTTATCTCGAAGAACCTTGGAATGACGCTTGGCGCCTTCTTTACCAAGATCTTTTCCTCCTTTGCCACGATCAGTCATTGTTGCTTGTTAGGTAGAGTGGATTACCTAACCTATCACCACCTTCCTACTGCTGCTATTGCTGCTTCTGCTGCCTGCTAACCACACCGTCCGAAGCGAAAATGAGTTGAGGCTAGACAGCAGCACTCTTTTATATTTTTTCAGGTGAAAGCAGAATGCTGTGCAATCAAGTGGTACTCGATTATGACGACTGGGTTTGGGAAGAACGTTTATTTCATGAAAACGGTGATAAAATTATCACTTTTTATTTGTAGATTGGACAATGCTTGGCATTACCACTTTTTCAATAGTTTGTTGTTGAAAATAATCATTTATTTCTGATCAATTGGTGATAAAATTATTGAAATTGGTCCAGGAGCAGCTGAGTTATTATTGTTAAAAATCTTTAATAAATTTGTTACATTTTCCATTTTCGGTTTTCACAAAGTGTACTCCCATATATAAATCACAGAAATAGTCCTACGTCAAAAGAAGCCTGATTTCACCACGAAAACAGTCTTATTTTATTTCCCATGTTCATTATCCCTAGTCGCCCTTGTTGCGTTTGCAACCACTCGACGGATCCCTTGAGGAAATGTGTGATATTGTTGTGTTTGTTTTTTGTTCTTCGGGGTTTTCTCGGACACGCCCGTGCTGTCAATGATCACAGTCACAATAGATAAGTGAAAGCAAGCGACGGCACGTGCGCATTGGAAGAGCAAATCGCTCTGTTGGCTATTCCAATCCGAGAAAACACCGAAGTTGTAAGTACTACCTAATAAAAAATAACCATAAACGAACGATAACCCAAATCATTGAACTATTCATGGTTTGGATGATACCTAGAACACGTCGTTAAGCAAATTAACCATACAATTTTTATTAGGGCTGTAATGTATTGTACTTAGATATGTATTTTAATTAAATAAATATTACAGCTTTGTAGCATGTGGCAAATATTACAATTGTACGTTTTATTTGCTCTGCTGAAAGACCGGTGCCCATCGCCATTGTTTTCAACAGCCCTACATGATTGAAAGGATTTTTAGATTTTTGAAAATTAAATTTGAGTAGGTTTCATTAAATGAACACTATGAACTAATCAAATCTAATCTAATCTAATCGAATCAAATCAAATCAAATCAAATCAAATCAAATCAAATCAAATCAAATCAAATCAAATCAAATCAAATCAAATCAAATCAAATCAAATCAAATCAAATCAAATCAAATCAAATCAAATCAAATCAAATCAAATCAAATCAAATCAAATCAAATCAAATCAAATCAAATCAAATCAAATCAAATCAAATCAAATCAAATCAAATCAAATCAAATCAAATCAAATCAAATCAAATCAAATCAAATCAAATCAAATCAAATCAAATCAAATCAAATCAAATCAAATCAAATCAAATCAAATCAAATCAAATCAAATCAAATCAAATCAAATCAAATCAAATCAAATCAAATCAAAACAAATCTAATCAAATCAAATCAAAACAAATCTAATCTAATCTAATCTAATCTAATCTAATCTAATCTAATCTAATCTAATCTAATCTAATCTAATCTAATCTAATCTAATCTAATCTAATCTAATCTAATCTAATCTAATCTAATCTAATCTAATCTAATCTAATCTAATCTAATCTAATCTAATCTAATCTAATCTAATCTAATCTAATCTAATCTAATCTAATCTAATCTAATCTAATCTAATCTAATCTAATCTAATCTAATCTAATCTAATCTAATCTAATCTAATCTAATCTAATCTAATCTAATCTAATCTAATCTAATCTAATCTAATCTAATCTAATCTAATCTAATCTAATCTAATCTAATCTAATCTAATCTAATCTAATCCAACGCTAACACAGCCTGCTAAGCATCCTGGGAAAAGATTGATATATCTCCATAATTTGTCGTGCCTATTTGATATATGTT